GAAAAAATCAAGTCCTCCCATTTCTCCGACAAACCTCATCGATGTTTTTGTGGATGGTTACCGTACCCTTGCGCTTGTGGACACTGGTGCTGCCGTTTCAGTAATTGATTTAAAACTTTGCCGCCTGCTTCGGAAGGTTACCACGACGCCGAAGGGATTGTCCCTCTGTACTGCCAGTGCTCACCATATTCGACCATCAGCTGCCTGTACCCCCCGCGTTCTCATCCAAGATGTTTTGTATACCGTTGAATTTCTTGTGCTACAGGCGTGTTCTTATGATGTGATCCTCGGCTGGGATTTTCTGTCTCGTAATCATGCGGTGATCGACTGTGCTCGTGCTGAAATGGCCTTCTCTGCGTTGTGTGCCTCGTCTCCGGAATTTCCGTTGAACAAGCTGTTTGTCACCGACGACATCGACATATCATCGACTAGCGCAGCCTTTGTTCCCGTGTCTTGTGCCGATGTGTCTAGTCGCAAGAGCCTCACGTTGCTGTTTGCAGTTCTAGATATTTCAGCGGGCGCTACCAATTGGTCACAAATCCCTTGAAGTCTCCCACAACCTAGCGTCGCGGAGAATGTATTGGAACATTCCAAGACTTAGACGTTTCCTCCATCTTCGGCCTTGACGGTGAAAGTGATTTGCAGCTTAATGCACTGGCGCTATCTGCCCGTTCACCTGTTCATGAAAACATTTGTTTGGCCCCTCAATTGATGGTGAACTTGAAGAACCACACCGTAAAAAGCTTCTAGAACTTCTTAACCAGTTTCGCGGCTCGTTCGATTGCGTTCGGCCTAAGGACGTCTGCTGGCACACCGTTGTCCATCACATTACCACCGGATCCCAAGCGCCTCTGCGACAGCGTCCCTACCGAGTATCTCCTGTTGAGCGTCGTGTGATCACCGAGCAAGTGGCCGACATGCTTCAACGTGGCGTCATTCGGCCGTCCAGCAGTCCCTGGTCTTCACCTGTGGTACTTGTGAGAAAAAAGACTGCTAGATTCGCTTTTACGTCGATTACCGCCGTTTAAACAAAGTCACGCTTAAAGACGTATACCCTTTGCCGCGCATCGATGATGCCCTGGACTGCTTGCAAGGCACTGAATTCTCATCACTAGACCTACGGTCCGGTTACTGGCAGGTCCCCATGGCACCATCAGATCGTCCAAAAACTGCTTTTGTGACGCCCGATGGGCTATACGAATTTATTGTAATGTCCTTCAGCTTTTGTAATGTGCTAGCCACATTCGAAAGAATGATGGATAGCGTCATGCATGGGCTAAAATGGAAGACATGTCTTTGCTACTTGGATGATGTTTTCTCCCAATTTCGACAGCTACCTCCATCGTCTCAGCGAAGTCTTGAGCTGCCTCACAAGCGCAGGCCTTCAACTAAACATCAAGAAGTGCCACTTTGGAGCTCGACAGCTCACAATACTTGGCCACGTCTCAAAACATGGCGTCCTCCCAGACCCCGAGAAGCTTCGTGCTGTCGCTGAGTTCCCGAAGGCTACGATTATGAAAGCGCTTCGCAGCTTCGTCAGCCTGTGCTCATACTTTTGCCGCTTTGTGAAGAACTTCGTTTTGATAATCGCACCACTGACACAGCTGATCACTGGCTATGTACACCTTTATGATTGGTCACCAGCATGCGATGATGCTTTTGCAGCATTACGCCATCTCCTTACTTCACCACCTATTTTACGCCACTTTTACTCTACTGCTAGGTGCACAAGGATGCCAGTGGCATAGGACTTGGCGCTGTCCCTGCTCAATGCAAGTCTGGCTTCTCGGAGTATGTAGTTACATTTGCCAGTTGCACACTAACCAAGGCAGAGCACAAATACTCCGTTTCCGAAAAGGAATGTTTAGCCATTGTTTGGGCATTACCAAAATTTCGTCCTTACTTAAATGGACGCCCATTTGATGTAGTTACAGATCACCATTCACTCGGTTGGCTCGCTTCATTGAAGGATGCTTCGGGCCGGCTTGGACGTTGGGTGCTCCGTTTACAGGAATTTGATATTCACGACATTTACCGCTCAGGCCGCAAGCATACCGACGCAGATTCTCTTTCTCCTTCGCCTCTTCCTTAAGCCGTTGCACCTGTTTCCTTTGCCGAAGTTACCATCAACAGCATCGACACCACTGACATGCCATTGGAACAACGCAAGGACCCTTGGATAGCCTCGCTCATCGACGTTCTCTCGTCTTCGGTGACACCAGGCCAGTGTCTACCTCGTGCACTACGTCGGCAAATTCCCCATTATGCAATACGGGATGCCATGTTGTACTGTCGCAACTATCAGCTGGATGGTAAGAAATGGCTTCTTGTTATACCTCGCCATTTGCGCGTACTTCCACGCAGACCCTCAAAACGCACACGCTGGCGTTTTGAAAACATACGACCGGCTTCGTCAGCGATTTTTCTGGCGTGGAATGTACTCTTACGTTCGCAAGTACATACACTCCTGCACCGACTGTCAGCGACGGAAAACAACTGGTCATGCCTCTGGCGAATTACAACCATTGCCGTGTCCAGCTCGGCCGTTTGATAGAATCGGCATAGACCTCTACGGACCACTACCTTGTACTCCTGCTGGAAATCACTGGATTATTGTGGCCGTTGACCACCTAACCCGTTACGCTGAAACCGCCGCTTTGCCAGCTGCTGCTGCTGCTCGTTATGTCTCCTTGTTCATCTTGCGTAGCTTTGTACTTCACCATGGCGCGCCACGCGAACTGCTTAGCGACCGTGGGCGTGCAATTCTATCGCAAGTAGTTCAGGAGCTTCTCAGTGAGTGCAATATTATTCATCGCACCACTACAAGCTATCACCCACAGACAAACGGTTTGACGGAGTGCTTTAACCGCACGCTCTGTGATATGCTCTCTATGTACATATCCTCCGACCATTCTAATTGGGACTTTGTGCTCCCTTTCGTGATGTATGGGTATAATATGGCCACGCAAGCAACTACTGGGTTTTCACCTTTTTTTCTACTGTACGGACGTCAGCCCTCTTCTACACTTGATACGATACTTACCGCCCAGATGCGTCAGAATACCGCCCAGCCTCCGAACTTGTTCAGTGTGCCGAAGAGCGCCGCCAATTAGCGCGTTCATCTACGTCCGTCGCACAAGGTCTCGAAAAAGAACGACTTGACCAAGACAAGCCTGCTCACAGCTTCCCCGTAGGCTCATCTGTATGGCTTTCGGTTCCATTCCAGTCCCCCGGCCTCTCCCAAAAGTTTGCACCCAAGTACAATGGTCCGTACCGCATCATTGAATGCATGCACCAGTCAACTACGTCGTCAAACCAGTGACACCTGCCGATGAAAGACGATGTCGTGGATGTGAGACAGTCCACATCAGCCGCTTAAAACCTTACTACGACCACCTTGTGCTTGCTTTGCCGTGAGTCGCCAGGATGGCGACTCTTCACCACCGGGGCAAATGTAGTGGGGAAGAGGGAGAGAGACAGTATCTAGTCTGAGAGCCTGGAAGATGACTACGACGAAGAGCTAAGCTCGTAACAGTGACTGACGCCCCTTGAACCAAACAGTTAGTTTTAGTCAATAAACCTCCTTATAATATATATATATATATATATATATATATATATATATATATATATATATATATATATATATATATATATATATATATATATATATATATATATATATATATATATATATATATATATATATATATATATATATATATATATATATATATATATGTGTCCATGTTGGCTGTCCTGAAGGGATGTAGAGTGAACGTACAAATTTCAAATTTGTTACCTTTGTACATGTGATTTACGTTTATGGTACATACAGTGTACATACGCAGACTTCTGATGGATGATTGCAATATATAAAATGTATGTCCCGTTGTAGGCCTACCGGATATATGCGGTTACTTGGGCTTGTAGCAGTCACCCAAAGAGTAAAAACACCACTAGAAAGGGTGCTCTTCTACACAGTCTACGCAGGCCTGGCGATTTCTTAACTATCTCGCATTTAAATTACCATTGTCTGTTCTTTGCATTCCTCTGTAGATATAAGCTGTCAAGCACATGGCACACACCTGCATATTGTCAGACCCCTTCCTCCAGACACATTGTGCACATACCTGTATACCTGTGGTATACAGGTATGTGCACAATGTGTCTGGAGGAAGGGGTTTGATGTCAGATGCAATGAGATTTTCACATTAGTCATGTCACGACCAGACAGTCAGAATCGTCAAACCCTCTTACCCTCCTATAGCAATATTAGTCTACGCCAAGTTTAGGAGCTGATCACGAGAGCAACCAGATAAATGGATGATAAATAGATAGACGATGGATAGATATATAGAGAAGAGCTCAGTGTCTGTAGTAAGCAAAGAAATGAGTCACATTTAAAGTATGCAATTACAAAACAGCTTAAAGCACAATGAGCAGCTAAGCACAAGAAAGCTTCCAGGACAGCCAACAGAATTTCAGGTGGCTTCATATTCTCACACCTTGGGGAGCAGGGATGCGCTGTCCAACTATTTTAGCAGAGGTCGGAAGGCATGGCATTAGTGGCAAGGCATTAGTGGCAAGGCATTAGTGGCAAGGCATTAGTGGCAAGGCATTAGTGGCCCAGTGCAGAGTTCTACAATGCTCTGTAACAGCTGCATTATAGGAGCGGTGCTACAATTTCTGGCAAAAATTAACCTCTGTTCTTCTAGATTTATATAAATGTCTTGCCTCCTCAATTTATTTTTACCTATGCAATTTAACAAAAATGTGCACCGAGAAAGATGCTCATCATCGCACCTGTGACTTAACTGCGAAACTATATGCCCAATACCTCAATGTTTAGTATTTGTGTGCCCACAACTGTACAGTTTTTGCAATAAAATCCAGGACTGAGCCTAAAGGTGAAACAACGGCTGTTAAGGCAAAGCTGGCACCCTACACTAGATGGTCCGACAATATGAAATAAAAAGAGGCAGTAGCTTGCACAATACCATAGCCGCTGTCCATGGCACTCTCTTGGGAGCTGGAACAGGAACGAGTGCTTGCATTGTGACCACAGGAGCCACTATGGTCAGGACTTGGAAGCCTCTCTGAACTAGTACTGCATAATGAGTGACTACTGTGGGAGCATAATCCAGAGGGCTCAAATGGGGGTGGCTTCTGTCCTCGAAAACCCAGTGACAGCTGGCTCAAAAGCAGAGGGAGCAGTGCAGCCTGCTGCTGCTGGTAGTGATGCAAGGGAGCAGAGACCATTTGTGGTGCAGGGCTCACAAAGGAACCACAATTCAGCAACCCGTTCCAAAAGAGCTGCTGCTGTTGCTGCCTGGCAGCGGCAGCCGCCGCCACTGCTGCTGCTGCTGCAGCTGCCGCAGCAGCCTGGTGTTGACTAGCAGCTGCAAACATAAGCAAGAAAGGAATTACAAGGAACAAAGCAGGAAATACAGAATGTGCTGAACAAGTGCATGTAATAGACGTGCTTATAAATATTTCACGTACACTATTCTACAGAAACACACCATCACTTGCAAAATTACAAAAACCTGTCACTCTAGTCAAAGGTTGTGCATATTTACAATAAACATGCAAACTTTTAAAGCTTTCTGACAGCTGCTTCTCTGCCAGATAGAGCTAACAAAGCATCATATAGTTTTGAAACACTTAAATCTATTGCTAATTAACAAAAATTAATAGCTAAAGCAGTAAATTTAGAGTATGTATAAAAAGTTATTTTTCTCACTTGCCATTAGTTTGCAATGGCAATGTGAAGGAGAGAGTCAGCAACTTTTGGCAGTTAACCACGAAATTGTAAAGCCTACATATTACAGCACTATGTAGTATGAACTCACTTATAAGGAAATAAAACTTCCCATCTGTAAAAATACAGGGTGTATTCTTGGACGATACAGATTGATGATGTCTGTGTCCCAAAACAAAACAAGAGAAGCTCTTGGAGCCTGTTATGAATCCATGCTACTCTGCTTACACCATACCGATCAGAAAATTTGGAAAAACACCACGTATAATCAATGTGCAGTGAGCATTAGAGCAAATTATGTTATCTAATGAGACCCCTGTAAAATGAATGCCACAGACTACAAACTACATGTACTCTTATGTAAAAATATGTTCACAGGTTATATGTATTCACTTTTAGAAAGAATTCCCAGACCAATTCAAAAATAGGCATTCTAAAACTTCGACTAACCACCTCTATGCAATGTAGCTAACGGTGGTTAGTCGAAGTTGAACAGCAGAACCTTTGCCACAACTTCAGGAGTGCTTTTGTCAAAATTGGTGCGGTTTTCTTTGTCAAGCGAGTATGTTAAAAAATTCAAGCGATTAACTTTTTTCAGAGAAGTGGTAAAGCCATTAGTTCCAAAAAGTATGTAAATGTCTGCAATACAAAGCACAAGTTCACTAAATTATCTGTAAAAAAATATTTCTAATGACAGAAAAAAAAACATCTTTAAAACATGTGTGATGATGTTTATTCGAGCAGAGAAGTCGCAACGAGGTTGCAACGAAAAATGGCCGAACGGCAAGTCTGGCAAAGGCGGCACAGGCTCTCATGCAATCGAAGCACGGGGCTTTGTTATCTACCGAAGGCGCATACGAGTTGGTGCGTATGCTCCACTACAATACCCTCGGGGTGAAGAGTATCCATCCTGGCAACTCGGGGAGTAGGCACAATGAGGGGGTCGTAGTAGGGTTCGAGATGGTCGACGTGTACGGACTCGCGTCCTCGACGACGCAAATCTGGCGATTGTGTTAGTGGCTCGATGATGTAATTCACCGAGGAGGTTGCATCAATGACGCGGTATAGACCATGATACCGGGCCAGAAGTTTAGAAGACAGGCCAGGAACGTGCGGGGGCACCCAAAGCCACACAAGGGAGCCAGCACGAAACGTAGGAGCCATGTGGTGAACGTCGTCATGTCGAGTCTTTTGTAGACCTTGAGCCTCACTTGTCAGAGACCGAGCCAACTGACGGCTGTTTTCAGCGTATCTGGCGACTTCCGAAAGCGGGGAGCACTCGGATGCATCAGGGCGATACAGGAGTATAGTGTCGAGTGGGTGGGAAGGTTCGCGGCTGTACAACAGAAAGAATGGGGAAAAACTGGTAGTCACGTCGCGGTGTTACAAGCGAATATAACAAAAGGTAATACAGCGTCCCAGTTAGTGTGGTCGGAGGCGGTGTACATCCTCAGCATGTCGCCAAGTGTGCGGTTGAAGCGCTCAGCGAGACCATTTGTCTGTGGATGATATGCGGTAGATTTCCGGTGGATGATGTTGCATTCAGCGAGGATAGCTTGGATGACCTCCGACAAAAACACTCGACCCCTATCACTGAGCAATTCCTGCGGAGCACCATGGCGTAGAATGAAGCTGCGGAGAATGAAGAGTGCAACTTCGTGGGCGGTCGCTGCCGGTAGAGCTGCAGTCTCAGCGTAGCATGTCAGATGATCGACGCCGACAATAATCCACCGGTTTCCAGAGCCACTATATGGGAGGGGGCCATAGAGGTCAATACCCACGCGGTCGAATGGCGAGCCCGGCAGGGGAGCGGCTGTAACATGCCAGTAAGGTGCCGTGGAGGTGTCTTGTTTTGTTGGCAAGTGGTGCAAGACTGAATGTATTTCTGCACGAAGCGATACATTCCTCACCAGTAATATCTTTGGCGCAGCCTTTCGTAGGTTTTCAGGACACCTGCGTGAGCACTTTGGGGATCTGCATAGAAATTCATGCAGATGTCAGAGCGCATATGAGTTGGGACAGCAAGGAGCCAGTGCCGACAACCAGGCATGTAGTTGCGGCGGTACAGAATGTCTCGTAAGGAAAAGTGGGCTGCTTGCCGGCATAGCACTCTCGTAGAAGCGACAGCAGACGGATCAGCAAGGTAGTCTACTAACAAGGCAAGGTATGGGTCTTTACGCTGCTCCGAAAAAGCATGTCAGTAGTGTCGAGTGGTGACAAGGTGGTAAAAAGGGGTGACAGAGAAGTTGCATCTGGTGTTAATGGCGATCGGGAAAGTGCATCGGCGTCCGCATGCTTGCAACCGGAACGATATACGACACGGATGTCGTATTCCTGCAATCGAGGTGCCCAACTCCCCAGGCGTCCGGACGGGTCTTTCAAGGTGGACAGCCAACATAAAGCGTGATGGTCTGTGACCACGTCGAAAGGACAGCCGTAAAGGTACTTTGTAAGCGCCCAGATTATGGCCAAACACTCCTTCTCTGTCACAGAGTAATTCAATTCAGCCTTCTTGAGAGCACAGCTTGCAGAAGCGACTACGTATTCGGTTTGGGTGCCTTTCCGTTGTGCCGAAACTGCACCAAGACCGACGCCACTTGCATCTGTGTGAATTTCTGTGGCAGCAGTGGGGTCGTAGTGGCAAAGAATAGGTGGAGAGGTCAGCAGGCGGCGCAGCTAGCGAAAGGCGTTGTCACATGCAGGCGACCATGCAGATATACCTTTGCTGTTGGAAAGCAGACTCTTCAGAGGTGCTATGATGGACGCGAAGTTGCGCACGAAGCGACGAAAGTAGGAGCAGAGGCCGACGAAACTTCTTAGGGCGTTCAGTGATGTGGGCTTTGGGAAGTCAGCGACAGCTCGAAGCTTATCAGGATCCGGAAGAACACCGTCTCTTGTGATGACATGTCCCAAGGTGGTTAGCTTTTGTGCTGCGAAGTGGCACTTCTTGGTGTTAAGTTGTAGGCCTGCAGAAGTTAGACACGTCAGAATCTCGTGGAGGCGAACAAGATGTGTCGGGAAATCAGCTGAAAAGACTACGATGTCATCCAGGTAACAAGCAAGTTTTTCACTTATGGGCACGCAAGATGGTATTGATCATGCGCTCAAATGTCGCAGGTGCGTTGCAGAGCCCAAATGGCATGACTAAACTCATAGGCCATCCGGCATTACAAAGGCTGTTTTAGGGCGATCACATTCAGCCATTGGCACCTGTCAATACCCAGAACGCAGATCCAAGGATGTAAAGTACTCGGCGCCTTGTAAACAGTCAAGAGCATCGTCTATTTGTGGTAGCGGGTAGAAGTCTTTCTTCGTAATCTTGTTTAAGCGGCGATAGTCCACGCAAAATCGAACCGTGCCATCTTTTTTCTTTACCAGAACCACAGGTGATGACCAAGCGCTTTGAGAAGGCTGTATGACTCCACGTTTAAGCATGTCAACTACTTGCTCCGTAATGACGCGGCGCTCTTCGGCGGAAACGCGGTAAGGACGCTGTCGCAGAGGCGAATGTGAGCCGGCGTCAATAGTATGAGTGACAGTCGTGCAGCCCAAAGCAGGTTCTTGCAAGTCGAAAGAAGAGCGAAACTTGTTAAGGAGAGCAACAAGTTGGCGGTGATGCGAGGAGGGAAGGTCTACGTCAATAGCATTGTCAAAGGCTAACGAACTTGATGGCTCAGACACATGAGTGATTGTGGCAATGTGACATGGGGCTTCGTCGGGAAGAATAATATCAATGATATGGTCGACAGGTTGTACATATCCCAAGGTTTCACTTCGAAGTAAGCTAATGGGGCAGTTATAGTGGTTGGTAACCAGCATTACGGTTAAACCAGACGTAATTGTAAGAACGGCAAATGGGAGAAGGATACCCTTGCATTCAGTAAAAACCGGAGATGGCGTGAACACCACCGTGGCATTAGGTTGCACTACACATGAAAGGCTAATAGGGACTGAAGCTTCCGGAGGCAAGGTGATGTCGTCGTCAGCGACGAGTTTGCAGAGCAGAGGAGAACGGTCGGGCGATGGAAATTCACATATTGGCACTAGGGACACTTCCGCACGGGAACAATCGATGATAGCTTCATGACGTGATAAGAAATCCCATCCTAAGATGAGGTCACGAGAGCAAGATGGTAGAACAAAAAATTGGACGATGTACAAAACGTCTTGGATGATGACGCGCGCCGTACACACAGCCGAGGGATGAATGCATTGCGCGCTAGCCGTGGACAGCACCGTGCCACAGAGAGATGTGGTCACTTTCTTCCGTTTGCGACAAAATTTTGCGTTCATCACAGAAACGGCGGCCCCAGTATCAATGCTAGTGTGATGACTCCCTCAACATCGTCATCAACAACATTTTGCGGCGAAAATGGACGCCTTGACGATTAAGCAGAAGTTGCAGTTCTTGCCTCCGGAACTGCACTGATTAGTTTCCCACTGGTCCACAGTGGTCGAAGACGCATAGGCGATGGCGAACGGCGATGGGGGGATGGGAAACGAGCAGTTGATGGGCGACGATCCGAGTCCGAGTGCCTCTGTTCATATGCAGATGTGGTGGCCTGCTGCAACGCATAGGTAGGAGTTCCAAAGGAGGCATACACAGGTGTGGAACGGCGGCGGCAGAAGCATGCAACGTGGCTAGTGATGCCACATGCGAAGCAGATGGGACGGTTGTCATGGGTGCGCCACTCATTAGGTGGACTGAAAAAGCGAGGTGGGGGTCTGTAAACAGGAGGCGAGGCCGGATGAGGTGGAGCCGAGAAGGAGACTGGATGCGGTGGGGGCCGCGCGACCACAGCTGCATAGCTGAGAGGTGTAGGTGGCACAGGCGGAGCGTAGTTGACAGTTGAGAGATCAGGTGCTACAGATGTGCGTGGGTAAGGCACCGGCACTGCAGGGAGGACATGGAAATTTCAGTGCGTATGGCCTGCTGAAGTGTCGAAGGCAGGCTTGCGGTGGGCGCGTTGCTACGCGGCAGCAGGGAGAGCTGTTCGGCGACTTCCTCTCTGATGAAGTCTTTGATCTGGTTGGACAGACTTTCTTGGCGAGCGTCGGCATTTGCGAGTGCGACGGCCGAGATCGAATCTGGTGGTGGAACACTGTCGGGCGATGGAACGCTGACGGCGCAATTCATCGAAGCTCTGGCACAAGCTTACGAGGATTGCCATCGTGGTCGGGCTTTTCGCTAGCAACATCTGGAATGCGCCATCCTCAATACCCTCGAGATTCTGCCGAATTTTCTCTTCTTCAGGCATAGATGGGTTAACACGCGTGCAGAGGTCAAGCACATCCTCAATGTAACTAGTAAACGTCTCGCTAGGCTGCTAGGCTTGGTGGCGTAGACGCTGGTCAGCACGGAGCTTTCGGACCTCTGGTCGGCCGAACGCTTCAGTCACGAGGGTCTTAAAGGAGGACCAGTTGGCGAAGGCGGTTTCGCGGTTGGTATACCAAAGCTTAGCTACATAAGCCAAGTAAAAGATAACGTAGGCGAGCTTAGAGTCGTCGTCCCACTTGTTCCTGGCACTTACGCATTCGTACAAGGAGAGCCAGTCTTCGACGTCTTGCTCACCACTGCCGCTGAAGATTGGTGGGTCCCGTTGGCGGGTAGCGCCGGGGCAGGTAGACGGGGCAGCCGATGGTGCTGGCTGGGCTGGGATTGGCTGGTTGGCGACTGCGTCAGTCATGTTTCGTGGTGGTCTCTCGGCCAACTTGCGAGAGCGGAACTCCAGGTCTGCTTGGGGATCTCAGCAGCCTCCACCAAATGCGATTATGTTTATTCGAGTAGAGAAGTCGCAACGAGGTTGCAACAAAAAATGGCCATACGGCAAGTCTGGCAAAGGCGGCCCAGGCTCTCGCGCAATGAGAGCATGGGGCTTTTTGTTGTCTACCGAAGGCGCATACGCGTCGGTGCGTACGCTCTACTACGCGTGGCACATCCTTTAAATGAATAGCAAATTTCTTACTCTCAGCAACATTGAAGCAATTTATATGGCATAAATCTCTTTATAAAACAGTTTTTTGGATGCAGCAAGGACGCAAAACCATACAGTGATACTATACAGAAGTTATGAGGGCATATGACATGAGAACCCAAAGAGGCACTATTGTAGCATTTCGCAGCTACAAATCTCCCTTGAATAATGTAAAAAAATGATAGTAATATAAACTAAAGCGTCATTCTGAGCTAGTTGGCAAGTTCACACAAGTATAAAAAAAAAATAGGGAAGAAGGTTGAAAATGCAGTAGCATGTCCTAGAAGAAAATGTCTATGAGTAATGAAACTAACAGTTCACAAGTGAATGCTACAGACAGCAAACGTAGTGTGCAAGTATCCGTTCACAGTTTCTTGAAGAGAATATGGCTATGCTTATTTAATGCATAAACCTAGGCATGTGCAAATAGTAAATTTTAGGGTCAAAGAAAAATTAAAACTGAATAGTGATTTTGGCTGAATAATTTCGAATCGAATTCCAACAGTATGTATCACATATTACAAAAGAAAAATTGGCATGTTAGTCATGACAACTAAACTATTAATCTGAATACTCTTTGTAATTTGCACAGGCCTTGTTTCAAATTTTATTCTTTTTGGTTCAAAGGAAGTGTGAACTAAACAGTAGCAAGATTTCACTTTTGGCAGAATTCAAGTGATGACCTGGAAAGCATGTTACGTTTTAAAATTTACCATACTTATATATAAGAAGGTATAAGAAGCTTTTAAACCTAAGTGTAGAATACAAAAGTGTACCATACAATTTAGAAGAAACGGATTTTAATGGAAAGAAAACATAGCATGAGTTTTCTAGGGCATCGGTCACGGCTAAAATTAAATTCAAGCACATTTAGGTACACGACGCAAAGAAAGCTGGTATGTCCCAGATTGTCAAACAAATTATGGAAAACAAATGCTACATCATGTCTGACCATCCTTACTTAATTCTCAATTAAGTGCCATATACTTTCTCACTTGAAAGCTGTGGACGTGTTGATCACACATTTCATTATTCTCAGTGGACATGCACTTTGTTTATAGTACACGACGAGGTGTGTTTGAACTTTTTTTATCTTCCCTAGTGAATATTTCTAATGCGTATTATTTGTATATTATGTTTAGAGTGTGTAGCGACTTTTGTCAAATTTTGTATATTATAGATAAGTTCCATGTTTCAGGTACAAGTTTTTTTTCAATTATTTTAATCTTAACATTTTTTTTTCTGAAAGCTGCAGAAATGCTTTTTGGATCGATTTATGTTGAGCGATGTCTTTCACACAGTTTTTTTTTCTGTACATAAACCTATTTATGCATTGTAATTTTGATTTTGCCCGTCCACTGTTTGTTGTCAAAGAAAAGCGGGGGGACACAGACATAAAGCTCCATAATGGCTCTGTGAGGGGTGTTCCTGTTATCTGTACAATGTATACATGCAAAATATAGTTCAATTAAAAAAAATGATGAATCCATGAGGTGTTCATTTAACCTTGAAGTGAGACTTATTGGCAGTGCGAATTTCACCTTGATAAGCATTTTCATAGCTTAGCAACCCTTCATTGTTGTGAAACCACCGTTGCAAAAAGTTACATGCGAACTAATGTAGAGTTACGATAGGTGCTTGCATGACTTCGCAGACTTCCACTGCAGCAAAACCACCTTGCAAAGAGATTAAACGCAGATTAAGTTGGATCTGTTCGCTCATTTTGAATACTTTGAATTGTTCAACAATTTAAATTCAAATCAAAGCAAATTTGAACACAGTAATATTCGTTCGATTATTTGCACATGCCTACATAAAATGAGTCTGCTTCTGAACAGTACACTGCATACCTCAACCTCTATTATGCCCAAAAGTAAGCTTGAAATGCCTGATTCAGTGCAAAACCCAGCTTTTTATTACCAGAAAATCCAGTCTGTTTATGGTCCCGAATTCTTTTTCTGAACAATATTGTGAATTCAATTTTAATCACATTTTTTTGTTTAAGCATTTTACTGCTCGTTTTTTTTTACAATCATGTGCAACCCCAAAAGTTTTTTTTTTTTATTTGCATCTTATGCAGAGATTGTGCTAGCAATGCAGTAGCAAGCCCATTAGAGCATTTAGACATTTTTATCAAAGATCTTATCAGATAGAAAGTTGTGCTTTTTATAAGCATTAACAATTACAAGAAATTACAAGCAATTAACAAAACCCCATCTACACATACACATTCAGAATAAATTCATCAAGAGCTGAATTTTTCCGTCGAAATAATGTGCACACGTGGCATGCCGACTCTCCATGGCTGTGCTGCCAAAACACTTGCAAAGAGTAATTGACAGTGTATATAAGTCTATACGTTCACTCAGATGATGTTGCACCCCCAGAATTAAGTTTTACTAGCGCCTCGTAAGTGACAGTGATTTGAAGAAGCAAAACAATTATACTAGGGATTGGCAAGGCTTGTGCATTTGTTGCCTTGTTGTCTTGAGACTGGATATGAAAGGGTAAATAAAAAAAGGTTTCTAAAAAAATGCATCCCCAGAAATTTTAGAGGAATGTACAATGTCACACCTTTGATTTCCCTCCATAATTGTTCTTGAATTATGCGTCCTTTAAACGATGCTTGGGGAGGTGAATAAGGGATCTTGTCAAGAGGTGAAGAGCTGCCAAGTTCATCAGTATCCAGATTCAAAATAATTCGCCGCACCTCAAAGAGCAGTTGAGAGTCTTTTTCAGCACAGCGAGCAACAATGCACTGCAGAAAATCGAGAAAAAGAATGTCAGTCCACCCTTTAGTAACATAGAAGGTAAAATTCTCTGGATGCATGAAAATTTGACGGGTACCATGCACGTAGAAATTCTACAAATATCTAAAAGCAAGCACAGTACATGTAGCTAAAGAAACATGCATGGCATAAAAGCTCAATATGTCAGCAATTTTAACGAGCTTAGTGCAAGGCCCCAAGCAAGGCATGTGTAAGCAATCAGTGTTCTCACACTTCTTCAGCATCGAAATGCAGCCATTGTGGCCATGAATACAACCTACGACCTCCAGCTTAGCTGTGCAACATGTTACCTGCAAAGTTAAGACTCCTTTCCATCATTTCACTTAGCATGCAATCCGACAGCAAGGGCTGATAGCTCTAAAACTGAGTACCTCCATAGTCGTAACTGACATTTGTTTGCTCAGCTAAAGGCATTTGTTATCCGACAAAGCAAATGTCTCAAGTAAAGCAAAAGTAGCATTTGAGTCAATTATAAAATTTCTAGACAAGTATTAATTGAGTTGGATATATGAAGGTCATTTTTCTAAAGATCATACTTCAAATATATTCAAGTTTGGAAACTAAATGAGCCTGTACAGACTGCATTTATTAAAAAGCATCTGTAAAATAAATGGTTTCGCCATACGGTTTAACGACCGTTTGCACAGACTAGTTCGAGTAATCGATTGTGAGCACTTTCATTTTTTCGAGCCAGTGAGCATGCATGTTCTTGAATGGCTTCTTTTGTTCTTCGAGAAGTATATACTGAACAGTATTTAAGTTATTCAATAAACGTAATGTTCAGTCAATTGAGCAGTTTATAAAAATATACTATGGAAATCATTTTGCAATATTCATGTATTGTGTACAATAAGATTATAGTAATGAAAGAAAGAAGCAGAGGTCGTAGAATGGCACACACATGAACTAAACCTATGGGCATAAACTACGGAAAAAAAAAACAGGATGACTGCCACAACAACTTTTTTTTTACTAGGCCATCAAACTTTCAAGTATACTAAGTGCAGGACAAAGAAGCCCTGCATGAAACAGAAGCCATAAATGAAAATGGTGATAAATGCAAATAATAATTATTAATTTTATGAAACTTTCTGATGTGTATAAGGCTAAAGACTTCTTGTACACCTGCCCAGATTTGCTCATTGTGCATAAGTAGTGTGAAAGTAGTGTGCACACTTGGCTCATTTTCCTCCAGAGCATGCCCTGCTTTTATTTCACATTCAGCACCCAGAGTGACTGCATTCGTTGAAACAGTGCCATATCAGAAGAAATATTTATGATGATTCAAGTCTCGCGAGTCAGAAGAAGCTCACTGTAGGAGTACGGTGCAGCATAGCATTCAATATACAGACGACTCTGAACAGAACCTGAAGGAACTAGGAAAATATGTTCTGTTTAGCAGCAGGAGTTTCGTTTACCGAGAGATGAACAGGGGTGCAGAATACAAAAATGAAACCAATCTTGTCGGAACCACTTGTTCCATTGAAGCAGCAGTTCCGTTTAACAGATTATCATTTTCCGGGTGTCTACTGTATTGAATGAGAGGCGAAAGGTTTTTTAGATACACAGAACAGATACCTTATGAAATACTCCAGCTTGTATTCAATGCAAGCAGATATTAAAAGAACGAGTTTAGCATAAATGCCGAGTCTGTAGCATGTTTCATGTAAAGCAAAATGTGGCAAACTGATTGATATGCGAGGTTTAATGTCCCAAAACCACCATATGATTAGGAGAGATGCCGTAGTGAAGGGCCCCGGAAATTTCAACCCCCTGGGGTTCTTTAACGTGCACCCAAATCCGAGCACACGGGCCTACAACATTTCCGCCTTCATCGGAAATGCAGCCGCCGCAGCCGGGATTCGATCCAGCGACCTGCGGGTCAGCAGCCGAGTACCTTAACAAAATGTGGCGAACTAAATTCAAGTTTAGAATTTTAGTCTGGATTAGAACTACTTTGTGCTTCATAGGTGTGCTAGATTGCCAGAATGCTTCAAGAGAAAGCAACTAACAAAGGGATATTTCAGGTGTGTAGCAGAGTTGAGAGACATTCAAAATGTGTGTCAACTGGCACCCATGCACACTCGTGAGAAGCATTTATGATTGCATTTGGGGCCTTTGGGGACAGAAGACATCCTAGAAAACTTCAACCAGCTCCAAACCATATGTGCCTACAAAGGATATCCCTGAAAAGCAATGTGTTTTTAGCTGCATCCCACATAGACATCGAGGGAAAGTCCATCTAAAGTTTGCTACTGAAGGTGCATACTTGAGAATTTCATAGAAAGTGTTTGCATTTTGTTTAGTGCAACCAGATCTTGGGGAAACCTTTAGATTAGATCTGGTGATTTGATGAGCATCCAGAAGGTACTTGCCTCAGACACATAGATCAGTGTGGTTTGGTATCGTCGATTCACTGTTTCAGTGGTTAGTCTACAAGTCGAGACGACAGACCATTGGCAGAAAGAGGCAAGGCTACTCCTCCAAAAGCATTGAAGACAAGTACATTTATTAGTTTAAGCTACATCGGACAGCTCAAATACTGAATCCATAGTCTAGGTGCATAATTCTGCATGCAACGCCATGCTTTCAACTTGCCATCAGGCATTTGGTTTCTCTTTGGTGCCATCAGACTCAATGGTTAAAGAATGCGCTGTACGGTGGCTAGGCGCTCTTACTGTCATAAAGTTTTGTACCTTTGGCACATGTCAAATCAAAGCCTCAACTGAAATGCTTATCAGGGAACAAACCTATATGAAGGGTTATCATTGGTGATGTTGACACCCTTGTCCATTGACTGGTCAGCAAAAGCACTTGCCCCTAGACGCAATGCTTCATTCAAAATCGAAGCAGGCTACCCTGTTTGCCTAGTAGGCTCTTGCGAGTTTTAAAGCTACAATTTCCAATTCCTTGTGGTTTTTTCAAATTGCGCATGCGTTATCAGTATAGTATAGGGATGCTCTTGCTCCTTTTCATCTACACTATAGTCTCCTCTTCATCTATACTAGTCCCCTTATCAGCTCTCAATGAAAACCCAAGAGCACTGGAACAACACCACTAAAACCATAGAAACTTCCAAACAAATGCAAAATGACAGCTTAAATTAAGCAAATTCTGAAAGAAACAATAAACGACTTACTTTGCAGTTGCGTTTAGGCTTGGGTTTTATGCAAATGTGGACACTTGTTTGGTCCATAAGTCTTGAAATGGTGACTGTAATATGCAAAGAATGATTATGCTGAGAGAGTAACGCAACTCCGCCCAAATCAGGAAAGTGAAATTACTAACGCAGGTCAGCATCTTGGCCCTCCTTCAGGTCAAACATGAGGACAAGGGGCAACCAACCCTGTAAAAGAACAACCGGCCACCGATGGGCCACGAAACGCATATCAGTATTGTTAAGTCAGGCAAAACTATTGAAACATTAGGATGCATATAGACCCAAGCAACAGTGCCAAAATAAGCAATAACGATGAATAACTTTCCTTTCAAAATTCAGGTTTGTAACAACACAACAGAGCTCGAAAAAAGAGGGATGGTCAAAAATGAGGGGACCCTAAAGCTTCACTTTTACGAGTTGAACTCCATAGCGACATCCTGTTCCTAGAGTGTATTTCACTCTTATTGCATGAAACCTTTTCGAATTTGCTATACCCCCTGATACTTGTCCTTAAGGGAATAGGCGCAGTAGCGCATGTGCCTTTTGTAGCGGGGTACCGGCCTTCAACCACTGAGCCATTATGATACTCTCATTCCGACGCCCATTGGCATTAAATGCTTGTACCACGCATTACTGCAATATTTCATGTGTAATTGTGAAGCATGTATGTGGAATGCATGTGTTTCCAAGCAGAGGAAGTTCTTTTCACTGTTTTCACAAGCAGAGGCGTGGCTGTGTGGTAGAACATCAGCTTGCCACCCAAACGACCCTGGTTCGGTCCCCACTTTGCTCCACAATTTTTCATCATTTATTTACTTTATTTGCATCATTCTCGATTTTTCGTTCACGCTAAAGATGATAATTTTTCACTCAAAACCAACGAAGCCGACACCAACGGCGGAATTTTGTGAAACGAGCTATTTAACGCTATCACATTGAAACTGCAGCAACTATCTCTGAAGTCTAGTGTTCACACACAGTTATAGCTAGGCCAGTACTCTTTTTACAGATGAAGAAATAAACAGTTCTCACTACAAATTTACGACGCTTGTGACTGCTTTTGCAATTGTGAATATCGGTTAGTACCAGGACTACTGTATACAGGGCCAGCATAAACAATCATTTGTTTTGAAAAGGCTATATTTTCAAACATATCACACACGTACACATATATGAAAGAAAAAGAAGCACAAACTAAGTTTATGCACTCTCTACAAATGTAGAATTTATGCTTATTTGGTGACATGACACATCCATATAATAATTAAACTTAATTTGCACATCTTCTAGCATAGTCCTGCTCGAAGAACTCATCTGTACAGAAAGTTGACAGGACTAAGGACTGTTAGTGGGGCTACATAAAGGTCCTTAACGTACCAGAGTAAAACGTGTCAATCAAAGGACCTGGGAGGCCAGGGGCACAAAAGCTGGTCACCGAAATTCGCAATACAGCAATGCACAAGTTCATAGTTTACTTTTAGTAGTCATGACCTGCAGTGTGCCAGTGAAGGGGTGCACCCGTTTTGTTGGAAGACAAAGTCCCTAGAGTCAGCACAGTGTTGGAGGAACACTCACAACTGCAATATATCCAGGCAACTTTTCCCAATCACAGTTTGCTCGGTGAAAAAACTGCCCCTACATCTTTGTTTTCTCTGCAGTGTCACGATCATTCACCTTTGGCAAATGTCTGAATTGCCACAACTGCACACGTCCTTGTGCCGTCACTCATAATATACCATACAAACTGAGCTCGTGGTCATTTCGATGTACCTTTCACGAGTACATGTAATACCTTTGGAAGCACGGCCTTTTCAAAACGAATGAATCATTTATATGCTAGCCACTTAGCCATCATTAATTTTCACTGTGTGACCTTTATGTGCGCCTGAATGTACACAAGCATTCTTGAAATTTCCTATTGAAGCATGGCTGCCGTGGCGAGAAATTGGACCATCCCGCTCATACATAGCAATCCACAACAGTTGCATTAACACAACTACAGCACCAAGTCCATTATCCCAACAGATACTGAAGGAAGAAGCAAGTTATCTCTCCACAATTGTTCCCAATAATATACCCCACGAAAATGAAGAATACTCTATGCACAGCTTGATTTGTCTCATGAGCAGTTTAGTACCAGACACTCATAAATAACCTTTGCGACAAGGAAGACATTGCATACTTGCACACAGGGCAACACAAAGTACTCATCCTATCCATGCTTGCCAGGCACGCTTGACAAGTTAGTGCTGACAAGCGGTGCGGTGCAACGTTTCGTGTGCACTGCAAAGGCACAAAGTGCCCGAGTGATGGTGCACTGTTCCCTCTAATACGAGCAGATCTAGAGAGTTTTGTTCCCCATTAACCAAATTTTACTATTCTCCATATTCTCCATGTTTGTCGGCACAATTTTTTCTTGGGGGGCCCACACAAGTGTGTATCGCATCTAGAGGGGAGGGAGAGCACTGGTCTAGCTTGAGCGAGGGCAAGTGCTGGGGAGGCTTGAGGGGTGGGGCGGGGCAAGTGCCCTTTTTGCACCTCCCTGCAGATGTCCATGGTCTTCTTGAACATTACTTTTGTTAATACAAGAATATGCTATGTCATCAATTTAGTATTAATAAATTTAAGCTTATACAATTGAAACATCACCATTCATTCAAACATGCTGACCATGCAAATACTACTACATGTAGCAGGCCAACTGCTATGGGAATTAGTAGGGTGATTTTACTGCACGAGATATGCCACCAAGCTACTATCCCTCAGTCTTGATAATGTGTTTTGCATATTTTTTCAGTTCTTAAGGAGTCTCGCGACACCATCTTTATAGGGGCATTCATTCTTAACTCTTAATATTATTAAGAGCATTTCCTGCATTGAGGATTTACAGGAATTGCACTGCCATTTCCGCCATGGGAATAAGCCAAGTTTGTTTCATTCTGAGAAATTAAGAGGAATGGAATCGCGGCAAGTCCTCGTTCCCCACAATGGAGGTGGAATTGAATGAATGCAGCCACTCCGCAACACTGATTCAGTGAAATTTAAGACGCATGGTTTCTTGCCATTGTGTTGCATTTCCAATCGCAGTTGCCGCTCGACCATTCCCCCTTTTTCTGAATATAAATGTTAGTGCTTCCATCAAGCTGCTTCCTATATTTCTTCAATTAAGAATATTGAATTTCTTTTCAAAAATCAATTCATGCAAGCATTGCTGTATGGCGATTGCTTTGCAGCCGAGCTAGAACCCATAGCAGATGGCCGTTATAATAGGATTGGCAGAAGAGCACAGCAACGATTCCAGTTATTTTTCTTTCGCTGGTGCATCTACGAGTATCTCAAGGCTTGTTGCAGGTTTGGATTAAAACTATATATAACCTATATCTTTTAAAACACTTCCAAAATACCAAACCTTGGATGCTCGTTCTTTTCCCCCAAGGCGCTGCCAGATTATTTTGCTAATGCACAAGCAGATGTGAATAACTCAGTGGCATAGATGTATGCAGCAGTACACTTACAATTTTGCGAGGTTGCATGTGTGTAGAAAAAGAAAGGAAAAATATGTATGTATGCATTTCGCAAGTCTCCACCAGTTCTGTCAATGAACACCGATGCCACCATGCTACTTTATCACAGGAGAATTATTGCTACAAATTAGCAAATGTTTGATCAAACATTCTCAATATAAATCATTTCATACTATGAGCTATCACTACTTGCAAGCTATTTGGCTTGATAAGAAGCAATAGCAAAGTTTACTCTACCATACCTTCAAAGGGGTATGTATAGCAGGGTAAACTATTTCAAAAATGTTCCCATATTTTATCTTTCTCAGACCCAAGAAAGCGATTCCAGGTTAATTTATTTCAAGCTTCTTTAGTTTGTTCTTGAGTGTGCAAAAAAAAAGTACAAATTTTTGGATAAACAATGAAAAAAGTTATTTTTATAAATTACCTCATCTAACTTTACCTAACTAGCATACACAGTAGCTAAATGCAACTTAGAACACAAATTATGCTGCATACAAATTTACCACGACTTCATTTGAGACGATTCAGCAGTGCTGTCGCACATACTGAACAAAAATATGCTACAGAAAATTTTATTTACGTGCCCTGAAGGTGAAAAAAAAGGTTGAAGTTTTTGGAAAATGCCAGTTGAAATCTGTAATGCGTTAAAGATGCTCGACATGGAGTGCCATCTCAACGAGTTTAAAGAGACAATAAAGAGAAAAATAATTTTTGTGTATTAATCAATAAAATTCTACAATACTGAAAACCCCACTCTTACAATGAAACAATGCTTGGTAAGCGAGCGAACACACAGAAGGAAATACAGGTGGAGACACCACCTTGGGATTCCTGCACCCGAACACCACGACATCAGATTTTGACAGCATCTACTAAGTTCTATACTTAGTTTCTAATCGACAAAACGACGTACGTTGTTATCTTTAGGGGCCAGAGACCTAACCTACGAAGCTTCAGAGAACTTCATTGAGCCATAGTCCCAAAAATTCAATAACCACATTTTGACATCGGCAAATATGATGATTTCAGCATGCAAGTTAAAAATGAAACTTCAGCCTTGATTCTCTACTAAACCATGTCATTGTTTAACTTTCGTGTCCTTAAGTAATGCGTTTCAAACCAGAAATTTAATTCTGAAGTTATTTTTTACCTTCAACTTCACTATACTTGCTCGAAGCAATGACCCCAATTGGGGTCACAGGGACTGAAGAAATTTTACGACCACAATTAGAAAGCTTTTGGCCTTGACATTGTGAAATTTTTACGCTATAGTTGTTTGTGCTTAAATACTGGAATTTTATACTGGGATGAGACATGAAATGTTCGTTTTCACAGAAACAAAAAAAAAAAGAGTGACTGCAATCTGGAAGGCTAATACCACGTGGTAGTGGCATTAACCCGTTACCTCTAAGAATGAGTTCTTACAGTTACCTCAAAATAAAAGGTAGAAATTGCTTTGAATTGTCATGTGGCATAAGATTAATATTTGTTTTAACTATAACATGCAGGCATTCAAAGTTTTAGGGTCACACAATTTGAGTATAATTGAAAAATTTTTGTGTAATCCGTTTGTTTTTCAGAAAATGTACACCAACTTTTGAAAATTTTCAAATAACTAGTGAGAAAATGCACCTTTATGTTTAAAGACACACGGATAGTGCCCACAACATAAACCAATGAATATGCTACAAAAGCATTACTGCTGGGAGGGAATATTTGCAATTAAGACTTGTGGAAATGGTCGTACATTAATATATTTAATAGATCTAGCCATATTTATTATAAAGATATATGTATGCAGAAGTGATGAAAAACACGTAAACAAGCCCTTTTATCCATAGATGCGGTTATTAGAGCCAGTTGTGAATGGCCTCAAGTGCTCCTACAAACTCATGAATGCACACTTTTGCTCCTCGGGGTATTTTATTTAGTAATGAAATCAAAGACTTTTTTGCACCCTAACATATCCCTTTAAATTGAATGTCTCGAGTCTTATTCGGTAGTAGGCAGGTTCTACAAAACGATGGTAGCAAAGTGATTAAAATTGAGCACTGCTTCCTGAAGAGGTCTAGGACATGTTGCAGACAATCCAGGCACACAACATGCAACTGCAACATATGATAATGGCACTTGAGAATGCAGAACACGACAGTGTGCCCACAAATCTGGTGGAAACGGTGAAGCATTGACCTACCATTAGTTCTAGCCAAGCATTGTAGACAGCGTCAAAACTCCCCGTGATCTGGACAGTGGACTTTGAAGGAAAGCCCACAGGTAGCCCTTGGGAGCAGGTCTGCTGATTGAGGGCAAGGAAAGGGGGAAGCACTGACGTGGACTGGTGTGCCACTGTAGCTGGATCTGGAAATGTAATCACACAGCCTGTCTGCCGTGCTATTTGCTGCACATTACAGTTGCCATGCCCCATAACAAAGCTATGGTGATGAGGGGCAATCTCCGTGCTGAGAGTCACAAGACCGACATGAGTCTGCAAGAGGAAAGAGAACACAAAGCAGGTAAAGCACTGCCGCGGTGCTTGAAACGAAAGACTCGCCCTTGGGCTCAAGAACACTGACCCAGTTTTGTAAAATTCAAGTAAAAAATTTTTGCAATTTTCATGTCGCAATAATATGAGGCACACTGCTGTGGGAAACTGCATATTTACTTTCACTACCAGCAGTTCTCTAACATGCCTTTATATTCAAGTGTTGAAACATTTTTGAGCGTTATGTTTAGCAAAATGTGACCGCAATGGCCAGCATCGATCCTACAAACATGAGCTTATTAGCAACATACCGGGTGGCGAGCTGGTGTAGTGCTGATAAATCTTGCATTATCTGCTACATTTTCACAAGCTTTTAACGAAATTCCTGTCAATAATGACACGCATAAATACACGCCGAGTCAATAACACACCCAACTTTGCTCCAAATAAAACTGGTACATTTTTGTAGTGAAATGACACTATTATATATATGTATCTTTACAAAATATGCCAACTTACCTATCGAGACATACGAACCAGAATTTGATAGATTGCATCATTTTATCGATAAAATTCAAGGTGGGGAGTCATACCACATGCATTATGAACACTTCACATTTGTATTCTTAAAACTATACAAACAATAAACCGGCAATTGCAAGTTGGTGCCAGAGTCCTCCTCTTATTTTTTATGTGTTTTTCCCACCAAGACGAAAGTATGCAGAACTTGAAGTGGCCTGGCAACACTTAAATAGGATCAGAAAATGTTGCCCATTGGTGGTCAAGGCTACTATGAACATGCAAGTCAAACATGGTGCAGTGAATGACAAATTTCAAATTATATGTCAAAATCAGCTGTAAATCGCTGTTCTTTTGACAAATGTCTTATACACATAATCGACCAACTCGCATACCCAAAAACACTGGGGAGATTGTGTATCCTTTTTTTTTATCAGAACTAAGTTTTTTACGGAAGCCTATGGTGGCTGATGAAAACTGCAGATTTCTTCGAGTATTTTTATATACAGTTCAGTGACACCTCGATTTCGCAGTGCCTGTAGGACCACAGAAATTTTCAACCGAATCAAATGCTTTCTCGGAATCTATGAAAGCTATATGTGCAGGGGTTTGTTATATTTCACATATTCATCACCCCATTGATAGTGTGATCAACCAGCAGAAAATATGCTTAGTCCTTTGGCTGATTGAATTCCGAGGTGGTCTTAATTCTATTAGCCGTTACCTTTGAAAAAGCTTGTAGAAAAGAGGTATTAAGGATTTTGTAAATTGAGAATAAATGGGCATGGGCAGGGTATGTAGAAAGCAGGCAAGATAACCGCTGCTCTGTAAGAGTAACCGACCGAATTCCAAGAGAAGGAAAGTGTGCGAGGAAAGGTGGGCAGATCAGACCAAGTTTGCAGGCATAATGCGGCCACAGCAAGCACAGGAGCAAGTTAGTTGGCAAAACATGGGAGAGGAAACGATTGTGCTGACTATGGCACCCAAAGGCAGACATGGCCGAATTCAGTGTTGACAGCTGCCCAGTTCTGCAGCCACCACTATGCCACAACTTGCCCATACAGCATTCTATAAGTACGTTAGTAATCACACTGCAAGTGATATGCACATTCAAAGACAAGAAAAAGAAAGTGCTCAATGTCATTACGTTCATATGCTGGTGCAAATCGTCTTGTCATCCAACACCCACACCCCATGTAGCTTTCAGTACGCTTACCGGTGCTGAAGAAGAAAAAGGTTAGTGTGTGACAGATTCCAGTAACTTCGGTTGTACTTGACGCATCCTAAGAACTGTTGTGGCCATAAATTCTAAATGCAATAAACTAAGGGCGAGGTGGTTCAACGATTTTTTTTTAAAGTGCGGAACGGCTGGATACAGTATTTTTTTTTGCATTGCTACAAGGCTCATAATACACATAAACAGCTCCGAGGCAACTGCTCTTACTAAATCATAGGAGACAATAAAGTAGTACGCACCCGGGACCCACCAGTGAGGTATTCTATGAGCACAACAAGCCCTTGACGCAAGCGATCAGCATAGCGCCGGCTGCCCTTTACCACGACCAAGGTGAGAGCAGCATGCAAAGGTCGAAAAGTAACCGTGATGCCATGGCTTTTGAGAATGCCTTGTAGTGCCATAGAGGAATGGTCCAGTGCTGTAGGTATGGCCAGGTGCAAGGGCAGCTCAAACGACACTACCATGGGCAGAAGTTCCTGTATGAAGGACACACCAGCATTTCATGCAGGCACTTTTATAGAATTATTCAAATCAAGGATGCGAACTTAACTCTTTACATTTTTGTATATTTATTGCCACGAGCTGAAGCTGTGGCTTGATACAGCACATGAAGGAATGATCAATACAGTCAAACCCACATATCGAACCGCAACATAATGATTTATGTACATCAAACAATAGTAAAATCCCCAGAAATACATTTTTTACAGGTATAATAATGCTTGTATTGTATTACCTGTATACAGAACTCTTGAGCTCTCCTTCAGATTCGATACAACCGGGTTCAACTACATGCCGCCATTTGAGTGTGCAGACAAGATTTCAGAGCACTTCATTTATCTTGCTATTACTCCAGGCAGCTGTACTTCACACACACTTGGGTGAGAACCCAAACCATTGAAGTATTCCCTCCGATTCTAGTTTGCTTCATTCTCCCAATACAGCACTACCTACTCTACCATTAGTTTACTACTGTCAGGGGTGGATGACAAGTGAAGTGAAGAAAGAAGAGAAAAATTTATCCATGCCTGTGATTCTGTCTGTTGGAGTCTTTCTGGATTTGCCAGTGCGAAAGTTTGCGAGGCAGTGCGGAATTTGAATGAAACGAGAAGATTAACAAACTAATAATTCTGTGTTGACATACGCATAACTGCTCCCTTTTTCTTTTTTTTTAAGCTAAGTTTTGATCTAGGTTATTACCTATCAACAATACAAAAACTTAATAGTAAGTACAGATTAGTGATCATTAAAATTTCATTTTAAAAGTTGTAACATTTCCAATTTGCAAGTTCCTTTACTCTAAAATCAAATAATACTTTATAAGACCACTTGAATATTGGCCGGTCCCCCACAGTGGGTATGAGCCACAAGTGAAGGGCAACAAGAACAAGAATGGGAGATATTCAAAAAGAAAAAAAAAGAGAAGAGAAAAAAAAAAAGCAAGAGGTGCATGTGCGGGGACGCCATATTGAACTGACACTCGCAATAGAGAATGGGGGCCAGCACAGCGCAGAAGGGAGTGAATCGTCCGAGAAGACTGGGTCCCGTCCAAGTATTGCCAAGCCTCGGGAGCTGCCCGAGTTGCAGCATCTAGGAGCAGAGGCTGAAACTCTTGTAGAACTCTTGTAGAAAAGTCATCCTTTGATACTCTTGTAGAAAAGTCATCCTTTAATATAACTCTGTAGAAAAGCAAGAGTTATTTTAGGTTTGATTGAGACGAGCAGTTTTTGTGTGTTCACGAAATATGAAATGTAATCACGCTGATGTTTCTATCAATCAGCACCTGCATAGAAACAGGCGGTATCGCGCCTTGCGGAGGAATAATTGAAACAAAATGGTCACATTTTGAAAGATTTTAAACCAGACAGTCATTTTTGTGGACGCAAGAAGCGGGAAACGACTAAATAGATGAAACCTGACCCAGTGTGCGCCTCCCTGTAGTGAATAGAAAAAAAAAACGAAGAGACAGTCGAGCGAGAAAAAATTCCAGTATTCTCACAATGTAGCAGCATATGCCAAGTAAGAAATGATGGAAGAGGCACGTTTTTTAATACAAGCAATGACATACATGCACGTCATAGAGCATGAAAAAAGTTAACACTGAATATCTATGGCCTCATGCTGTGTGCTCAAAGCTGCCACTGCTTAAAATATGGTTCTTTTTGTAACTCCCATGAAAGAGGGAAAGACTCACTATTAAACCTATTTCGAAGCTCACAAACTTGACTGAATGTTTATAGCTTACTCCTATGCGAACTAAACGATATGCAAACAGAAAGAATAAAAGGAAGCCACATGTGCTTGGCTAATAGATGCGAGTTTCCGCTTATAATGCTGATAGATGCAAGTTTTATATGCTAAGACCACGGTACGAGGTACACCACAGTGGAGGGCTCAGGGTCATCTTTACCACCTTGAGTTCAGGGACATGCACTGAACCTCGTAATACATGGGCCTCTAGCAATGTGCCTTCATTAAAGATGTAACCATGCCTGGACTCAAACCCGGGTCTTACAGGTCAGTAGCTGAGCACCACGACCACCATGTCATGACAGCAAACAAAACCTACATAAAAATTGGCAGACCCCACGCAAAGTGGGAATCGAGAATATGCAAAGCACAAATGAGTAAAGTTGATAGGCAACTTTAAAATCAGCACAACGTTACGAGGCGAACAGATGTAGTACACAAAAATAGCAAAAAATGTAAACACAGTAGGCACAAAAATATAAAAATGTTATGCGCACTCAGGTATCTAGAGAAGATGCAAGTATATTGTTTACAGTTAAAAGCACCACTTTTGCAATACGTTTGCAATACTTTGGCAATACTTTTGCAACATTTGCAACACCAGCACCAGCAGTTGTAGCCATGTCATGATTACACGTTTGCATCAATCATATACCTTCGTTACCTATTCACTTCACGTTAACGCCACATTTAATATATGTGAAGCTAGCAAAACAGCCGCAAGGGCACCACGAGCGTAAGGTGTGTAGCCACGACTTCCACAACATGCATATCCCAATTTCCACGTTAAGGCCTGTCACTTATGTTCGCCATGCGGTCATGTCATACTATACTAGTTTTGCAATAGCTCATGTGAATGAAACCACCGCAAGAGCAGCCAGACCATCACAAGCAAATAATGACAATCATGACATGTATCTCGTGATTTTCATATCATGACTAGTCACTTATGCTAGTCAGTCATGTTATACCACACCAATTTGGTATCGATACCATTATCGAAATGGCCAAGAGAGCTTAAGTTTTACATACTCTCAAAATCTCCAAAGTGCAAAAAAAAATGCTTCGCTTTTAATAACCACGAGCTGAACACAAATTTAAGTTGCCTGAATGAAACATATCAGTGTTCTGTATACAGAGGCAACAACGCATCTGCAATGAGAACTGCCCTTCCTAGTTTGTTTTTATCAGGGAATGTTTTTTCAGGGAATGCACTACTTTACTTGGCTGCATAATTGAGCCAGACACTAAGGGATGTACAGTACTTATTGATTGAAATGTGACATCTCAGTATAACGACATATCTGAAGGTAACCACATCATGCCTTAGTGTATCCGATTTCTGAAGATAATGTAGGCTTTGATCAAAGCATACGAGTCGATATTATGCCAATATGACCTGAAGTGAAGGTGGCAAATGGAAGTATGCACATTACTTAGCCCTGAATTTTCCCACCTCAATCTACAAATACTGTACATCGTTTTCTTTCTCTCCTAACTTTAGCAGCAAGATATGACTGGGTGACTAGGGGCTGTGTGGCTCGGATGATGAATCTGCAATGAGCAGGCAAGATGTTTTCGTGGTGTTAGACAACTTCTCCTTGAATAAAAGAACAAAACTGTAGATACTATTCAAAGAAGAAAAGTGCTTCTGTAAGGTAAAACACGATTCTCAGGAAAAAAAAATCTGCAGAATAGTTCACGATACTTTGCAAGAAGCATATTCAGAGTGAGAATTACACTTCATTTATAATGTTTGCACGAACAAAAAATTTCATGTAAACAATTGTTGCTCTTTAAAGGGACCCTGCAACACTTTTCCTATAAGTGACCGTTGAATGGCTTCATTAAAGCCCTTTAATGGCCTCACAAATTGACTGCTTGTTTTTTTTTTTTCATAACTTTATTTGTACCAATTAGGTGGAAAGGGGTAGCCGTCGCCAAGTAGCGGTGACAAAACTCTGTTTATTTTCTATTTCAATAAAAAAGACTGCTGCAACAATTTTTAAGATCTCAAGTACAAGTGGAGTTGGAGATTCATTGTGCACTTTCCTTTGTAACCAGCAAGGGGGTTGACACTACCCAGGGAAGAAATGGCAAGGGAGTAAGACATGTCCGCGCATGAGCGCACATCATGACCTAGAGTAAAATGTCTTTCCCCATTGCTTAGGCAGAAAAGTGGAATGGGGAAGGGGCACGTAGCAGCCGTTGTAAGTATGTGTAAGTATGGTAATCAAATCGGCCAATGACCCAGGAGATTATGATGCTGTGATTCTGGTTCATGGCATCGTTTGTTAAGAGGAAGCGATATTTAACTGAGAATTTCAGGCCACGTGCAGCACTATATTGGTTCACGTGTTCTCTGAAAGCTCAACTACTGATCAGCTGCGTTTTGCAACCATGGTGGAAAAGTGCTACAGGGCCAGTATAAATAGGACTAACCTGTATGGTGGATGAATTAAATGAAAGAACACTAAAAATGGTTAATGTTTCTGTTCAAAAAGTGCTTGCCCGAATTTGATTCCTTGCACTCTCCACACCTCTAGGTTGGCCAGCAATAGAAACCTGAAAGAATATATCCGAATGAATGAATGTTCAAAGACCTACCAGAATACAAGATGTAAGCTAGTTTATATATTTTCCTTATCAGATGCTTCCAGCAAAGATCTACACATAATGGTGATTGTATTGCTACTCTCATGGTAGTAAGTAGAATCAATCTGAAGAGGGGGCTACCATTTGAAGGACCTGCGAGCAACCACCAACCCTTGGAGATCTATTATGACAAACCTTGCTCGCTAATAGTCCTATGTGGCTAATTGATTGATTGATATGTGGGGTTTAACGTCCCAAGTCCTATGTGGTTAAGTTGTGTGACGCAACATCATACAATACCAAACACTGCTCATATTCAGTCAAAACTTGCAACATGTTGGTAAGCGAGTCAAGAGGATGTCTGGCAAAATAAATACCCCTACATTAATTGTTCACACAGGGTAGCCACAGTACCTTTTGCTTGAAAAATAAAAAGTCCTTATGCATGTAAATTAACTTTATAGCAGAAATACACGTTTATATAATACTAGTGATTGCATCTAGGTTTTTTAACGATTCATTTCAATAACTTTTGCAGCAAGAACTTCTGCAGCTTAGGCAGATGAACTCCATGTTTAAATGTAATGATTTATGCCACCTAGTACCTGGTTGCTCTTGTCTAGTTGACTGTTGCGATTGGAGTCTGGGAAGTGAATATGGCAGCCTGTATTGTCCATTACTTGTTGGATGTTGTGGCCACCTTTGCCGATAATGTAAGAGTGGTCTGTGAAAGACACGTCCATCTTCATTGTCACCCTGTTTCTCTGAAATCCAAGAAAGAAATGAAGTTCATGTTCCGTGTTTAAGCAAAAAACAATGTAGCAGGAAAAAAAATTGGCCAGTTTTGCGTTTTTATGCCATGCTGCGAGTATTTTCCATCATTGCATCTAACCAACTTTCCCACCCTTCTCACCTGGATATAGAGACAAGTACAAATAGTAAAATACTGGCATGGATATATTAAATTTACTTTCCACACATTAATGCATGAAATGAATTGTGAATTCAAAGGATTGTTTTTAATTGTTAACCATAATAAGAGACTTGACCAACATTATTGAAAACTAAGAGAAAATGACGCCAAGGAAAGTATAGGGGATTTTAGTAGTACCTAATGTAAATGTGAAGAAAGAAAAGTGGACGGAAAGATAATTTGCCTCCAGCAGGGACCAAACCTGCGACCTTCGTACAATGTGTCCGACGCTCTACCAACTGAGCTACAGTGGCAGACATCCCTTGGCTTACTTCATCAGGGGCATAGGCAAAAATATTTTTCGAGGGGAGGGGGTACCACCTTGATCTGAAGTGGAGTTCGGGTAGACAAATAGTAATTTTGTGCAATGTATACCACAATGACAAAATTTCAAAATGGGGGGGGGGGCATGAGCCTTGCATACCAACCGAAGGCAGCAAGTCTGCTTGCAAGCGATACTTAAGTATACACTGACCTTACTTCCACAAAGTAGGCATTATGGCACTGACACACTATTCAGTGTTAACTACATGCAAAAGAAAATAAATGAATTATCGTAAAAGTACTTTTGTGTCGAGCAATTCCAGGATGCTTTCACGAGCTCTGGCAACAGCATCTGGCAGTCCCCTAACTTTAACATGAGGGTCTGAAAAAAAAGAAAAGGGAGGGGGCAGGGACATTTCATTGCCATAGTAGGTTTTTCAATGTGCCAAGTAAAATAAAAACACATTTAATAAGAGAACCCAAGCAATGCATTTCGAAGATGGAACTGTCCCTACAAAGAAAAGTACTAGGCAACTGCATAAAATGATGCCGCTGAAGGGCATAGCCAGAATTTTTATTTTTTTAGAATGGTGGGGTGGGGATAAGTTACACAATGCATGTTTGAACATGTGTTTTCAATTTTGCATGTGATATATTCACATGTACACATACAAATTGCAATGTAAGGGTGAGTGAAAAAGGGAGGAAAGCTCTTGAGACATTCCAGTAATTTGGTTCTTTGTTGACATGGTCACACAAGTGGATATGATGTCAATTCAAAACTACAAGCCATAAGACTCATGTAAGCAGCATAGTTTAAGAGGACCGGGTAAGCAAAAATATCGAAAAAAAAATCATTTTTCTCTTTTTGCATTAGTCGAACCCGTTTATAAGGCACACTGTATAAAAGACACTGATATAAGAGACAAATGGGTATAAATGATTGATATGTGGGGTTTAACGTCCCAAAACGAACATATGATTATGAGAGATTCCACAGTGGAGGGCTTTAGAAATTTTGACCACCTGGGGTTCTTTAACGTGAACCCAAATCCGAGCACATGGGCCTACAGCATTTTCACCTCCATCGAAAATGCAGCCGCCGCAGCCGAAATTTGATCCTGCGACCTGCAGGTCAGCTGCCGAGTACCTTAGCCACTAGACCACTGCGGCAGACCATATATGGGTATAAGAGACACCAGTGTGCCTACAGTAAACTGCAGGTTGATAGAAAAATGCATACGTACGTGGTACGCTGCTTATAAGAGAAATCTCGTAGAAGACAAGAATTGCTGCCCAGAGCATGCCTTTTACAAAGGGATTCAACTGTATTTGAAATCTGCAGCCTTTTCTGAACCAGAATCCGCATATTTCAAAACTTGCTGCAGTGGCCAGCCATGCCCCCCTTCTTACGTAGCAAGGGGCTCCTTGCAGTTCAAACATCGCAGCCATATGAAGAGGTTACAGTTTGCAAGCTATAGTGCATTTGGCACATTCAGAAAAAAATAGGCCCAGAACTGCTAAAACAAAAGCAAGCTGAGGCATCAAGCTTTCTGAGAAGAAATCTATATCTGGCCGGGGATTTCTTAGTAGTGCCATCATTGGTAAACTCCCAAACTATCATTGTTTGGCCATTAAGAGGAATAGAGAACTATCATTGTTTGGCCATTAAGAGGAATAGAGCCAGCTTGAAGGACATGGCAAAAGCCGTGCGGCCCACATGTTTTCACATGGCATCAAGGGATACAATTCTTCCCACGGACTTCGTTTGAAAAATGCCAAAACTTCGGACAATTTCAATAAAACCCAGTTGAATGGTGAACCATTCATTCATAAAGAACACCTTTCAGCATCTGTTTTGAAGCTGTTAAGAGGAATTATGCTAAGCCAATTAGGTACCTGAAGTAAAAATTTACAAAAAATGCTAGGCTTGCATAGAACGTGCAGCACAGTCGCAACGAAAACTGAAACAGCAGCCTTTCAGAACTTTTTCCAAACTCTTTGGGTAAATGCTAGAAGCACATTTACCGAGTATCCACTATGCCATAAACAATCATAACTTGCAAAGTGGGCCAGGATTCACTATGCTATGCTTTGTCATTCTTCAGAGAAGCGTGGTATCTGCAACACACTTGCTAGGGATTGTGAAATTTTTTATGCAGAAGAATTATGCCTGCAGTGGGAATGTGCCACAGTTAATAGGTGATCAAGAACAAGTTTTCTTATGGGTTGGAGCATCGGATGATCCACTCGTGCAATTCGCATTGTATGATGACAGCTGGTTTCTTGTATGTCCCAAAATGATTCATTACTCGTAATAATGCAGTTCCTTTCGCAACATCAAGCCTGCCTGAGGCCAGTTTAGGAGAGAGTTTTAAGCCCCAGCGTGGCTCAGTGGTAGAATACCGGGCTAGCACGCAGCGAACCAGAGTTCGAATCTGATTGGGTCCTTAGCGTTGTTATGCAGAGTTTTTTTCTTATTTCTTGCGATACTGGTTACAGACACTGTCAGCGGCAGAAAACTAAGGCGCCGCACGTGATCAGCGTGACCTGTAAACATTAGTTGGAATTTACAGCCCTAAATCTGCTTCAGTAAAATGAGAAAAGGCTTATAATCACAATGGCAGTAAAATAATTACAGAACTCTTATGGTTATGGAGAAAAAGTACATTAACTTCGCCTAAAATGCATGACAAAAGTAGGGTTTAGCCTGTTCTTTTAATGCCATGTTTGAAAAGGAGGGCCCATTCATTCACTTCACAGCAGAGCTTAGCACCAAGTTACCTTGAAAATAAGTGCAATTAATAAATGACAGGATTAATATTAGAATCACAATACAGGTCAGAGAGGCTGTGAAAAGAGCCTGATAAGACACTCCAGAGAGTCACTGCTATATTTTGGGCAGCGGAAGTTTGATGAACTGGAAAAGATACCTTAATAAAGCCATAGTACTAGGCCTGCTGTGTTCACATTTCATTCAAGCAGCACATAAATTGTGAAGTTTGAGGTCCAGCCCAAGAAACACAACACATAAAAACTTCTCGAAACGACTAGAAAGGTATGCAGACATCTGGGTATATTATAAGACGTTGATAGACGTTCTTTACAACAAGTCTTTTTCAAAAATTTTACTAAACAGAATTTTCTAGAATTTCCGGTAGAATTCGCAGATGAAGTCTCAATCACTGCATGCCATATATGCAGGGTGTTTTCAAGCAATACACATTTTCCCTTAAACTATAATAGTTGTAGAGTAGGCAACCATCGTCTTGGCAGCCAATTTCTAGGTTGAGGCAGAAACGTTTAGCCACTATTTTGATCACTCAGAAATGATTAAAAAAAAATATTTGAATCAACTTTTTGTTACTATCAAGTTTTGGGTGGTTATATGGCGAAGCAGTTCTAGGTCGCAAATTATGGCAAGCGTAGTTTTAAAAAATTGAAGATATCATGCGTAGTTGCAGACACCCACCATCAACTACTAGTATAGACATGGCGATGTACACGGCGATGCGACACATACACATGGCGATGTACACGGCGATGCGACACATACACATGGCGATGTACACGGCGATGCGACACATACACATGGAGATGTACACGGCGATGCGACACATACACATGGAGATGTACACGGCGATGCGACACATACACATGGAGATGTACACGGCGATGCGACACATACACATGGAGATGTACACGGCGATGCGACACATACACATGGAGATGTACACGGCGATGCGACACATACACAACGATACACGACGATGCGACACTACACGATACGACGATGCGACACATACACAACGATACACGACGATGCGACACATACACAACGACACGACGATGCGACACATACACAACGATACACGCGATGCGATGCATACACAACGACACGACGATGCGATGCATACACAACGATACACGACGATGCGATACATACACAACGATACACGACGATGCGACACATACACATGGCGATGTACACGGCGATGCGACACATACACAACGATACACGACGATGCGACACATACACAACGATACACGACGATGCGACACATACACAACGATACACGACGATGCGACACATACACAACGATACACGACGATGCGACACATACACAACGATACACGACGATGCGATGCATACACAACGATACACGACGATGCGATGCATACACAACGATACACGACGATGCGATACATACACAACGATACACGACGATGCGATACATACACAACGATACACGACGATGCGATACATACACAACGATACACGACGATGCGATACATACACAACGATACACGACGATGCGATACATACACACGATACAGACGATGCGATACATACACAACGATACACGACGATGCGATACATACACAACGATACAAGACGATGCGATACATACACAACGATACAAGACGATGCGATACATACACAACGATACAAGACGATGCGATATATACATAACGATATACACGACATTCTTTAGCCCACCCTACACGTGGTCATGAAATAGGCGTACTAAATATATATAGTGTCAGTCATTGCTTAACTGATGAAATAAATTGCAAAATGTACAATCGATGGGGTTTATTGCTCCGAAAAAACACTACAATTATGAGAGACTGCGTAGTGAAGAACTCCGAAAATTTCGACCACCTGGGGGTTTTTAAACGAACACGTATGTACACAGACCTCAAGCATTTTAGCCTCCATGAGAAATGTGGCCAGCACGGCAGAAATTCGATCCCGTAATCAGCGCGGGTCTACAGTCGAGCAGCATATCCACTAGACCACCGTGGCAGGCAGTTTTCGCGCGTCACGCTCATAGTTGCATTGGACCCACTAGAGCAGCTTGAAAGCCACGAACCGTAGCGAAGCTGAATTATGGCACCCACACACAAAGCGATGCGTAGTCTCCCGCGCCATGCCAGACTATGCTTCCTGCCTGCCCATGCATGCATCGTTTCACTTTTTGTCGAATTCCCCCGCAGACATGGGCCGAGCCGTGCTCCTACCGAGGGCGGCAGAAAAACGCCCTTTCTCTCCTCAACCAAGCCTCCTCCTCCCGGCACCGAGACAGCGTCGCAACCAGTGGCAACCGGTAGTCACCGCTTCGTTATTTTAGGTAGTGTTGTACGGTCTCATTCACCGACCGTGACGCCACTCTGACTCCCTCTCCACCACGAAGCCGCCAAAGATTCTCCCAGGTAGCACGTGGCAGCCACGTTTTGCGCTTGCTGCATATATAGTTTCGTATTGGATTTGAGTGTTTTGAGATTTCGCTTGAGAGCTGCTTTCTCCATAAGAAATGTGGTACCCAGCAGACATAAGTGTCATCTTTTGTTCTCTGCTAGAGCCTCTCATGAACAGAAAAAAAGGAAACTATGGACTCCCTATCTCGTCTGCAAAAACATCACTGAGTCAATGCTGTGGTTGAGCCACTTTTTCAAAGCCAAACCACGTTGGAAGGCAGTCCTACAGAACAAAACTTGTCTGTTCAGAGCGTAGCTAATGGCAAGGATAATTATCATTAAACTTTGCGAGACAGTTTTTAATATGGTACCTTTGGCCAATGGATGGTGATAAAGCATTTAGTTCATCTGCCAAGATGAGAAATTTCTACACATTGCACCTATCAAGTTGACACCTTCAGCAACACCGAAATGCTAATATGAGCAACGTACACCAGTGCAAGATGTGCAAAACAAACTATTATATAGTGGTCATGAACACAGCAGCATATAATTTGTAATGCTGTGGGCTTCGTTTTTTTTTTTTCATTTTCTTCTTTGCATCACCTATTCCAAAACTTAGTGTTTGTGAATAAAATGGTTTAACATATTGCTTCCTCTTGATTTCCTGCGGATACGGACTGACCTAGCCGAAATCATTTTGATAAGCTGGTGCATGTGAGAAAGTTTTTTTACATCACCGATTCCATCTCAAAATACGCGCACAAAATACACAGTTCGGGGCATTGCCAAAACCACAATTTGATTGTTAAACACAGTTTTGGAGTGAAACCCATTAATTTTGACTACTCGTAGTTCTGACATACGTACAAGTTTAGGCACACTGGGTGAGAAAAAAAAATTGGAATGCTGCTTTTTGGCTGTTACAAATTTTCTAGCTTCATATATTTTCTACAGGGCCAATAATGTGTTTGCAACGAAAATGAGCAGGCTAGCTTAGCACTGATAATTATCTACTTGAAAAGAACAGTCTGTACTAAACTGTGCTTTTTGGATGTCTGCAGTTTCCTGGACAAAATGTGTCATAATTTTCTTTTTTATATGTGTGAAGTGATTAGCCGATCATCGGAATTATTGCTATGTAAATAGTATGCAACAACATACTATTTGTTGAAATTTTTGCATTTACTTTTGGACGTGCCGTATGATGCATTCCAGACAACACCAGAAACGAAAATGAGTTTATGTTTAAAAGCTTGTCTTGTCTCCAAGCAAAAGAGATTATCGTAATGATAGGCTGCAGTCACTAAGTTATTCTTTGAACAAATAGGTCACTAACGAACAAATAGGTCACTAATTCTGCTGGCTAGAAAAGCTCCACTAATCAATCTGATACCATATTATGGTGTTGTTCTTACTTGTCACTCTAGACAGTGAACAGCTAAATGCACTTATTGGAAAACGCTGGCAAGAAACCACAAATTGATCATGGGACATGCTCAACAAGCTGGTTTGCATGAAAGTTTTTTAGAATTCTGGTGACAAGGTAACTAGGCTTGTAATAATAAAATTAGAATTAACGCTTAAAAAAGTTCTTAAAAACATTTAGCTAGACGTTTTTAGAATTCTCACTAGCAGTTTTCCAGACATTCGATAACATGGCGTTAACACAGCTACAGAAGATTCTGAAGCTGCTTAGGTCTAAATAACAACAGAACTTCTAACATACCTTTGGACTATACTTTTCGGACATTGACTAAAAGTTTTTCAGCTTTTATTGTGTTTCGTGGGAGCGTTAGAAAGGTTGCCACTACTTTGCTAATAAATCTCAAACTTTCATGTCACGAATGCTCAGGATGTCCCTGCAAGCAGTCCTAGTTGACTTGGCTAGTTTTAGCTACATTCAGTTTGCAGCCAGAAATGCTAAGGAAGATGGGAGAATCATTGTTTCCCCTATTCAGAGGATCAATTTCACAAGATGGCAGGACACCAAAAAGCTTTGAGGAGACAATGGACAGCATTCTGGGTGAAGTGGAGTTGTTGCTTGAATGCCAAGAATATGGAGAGTAGTATAAATTCAACTCATCCAAGCTGCCTTCAACCAGAAAGAAAAACAGCAACGTGCATCAAGCAGATGTGAAATGATACATCAGTCCAGACAGTCCACCTATGGCCCGAGATATCATGCATGTGGCAAGTTCGGACATTTTGAGAGATTTTGGAGAAAAGCAATACATAAATGCTTGCACGCTCAAAGGCAACAGATGACTCCATTGAAGCATTTGTTGGCGGTTTAATGGTCAGATCTGTTAATCTGACTGGAAGGAGAGTTGCTCTAAATAGCCACAAAGACATCAAGCTTTATACCGATTCAGATGTCAGCATTCTGCATACTACTACCGTGCTGAGTACATCACCTGCCCCTCAGTTGCAGTCTAGCGGAAGTCTACCTTCCAGGGTAAGCAATTCAAAGTGGAAGAGTGCACCTCCTGCAATGTAAATGATATTAGTGCAAACTCAAACGTTCTAAAAGGAAACAAAGTCCATACTCTGGGCAGCTTTATACACAACAGTTCCGTCTTCTGAGATGATTGAGACATGAGCAATTAAGGCATTGCACCCTGCATTTACCTAGTTAGGAGAGCACTTAAAAATTTCAGAATTGCCTGGTGATGCATTTTAACGAATGAGATAATTTCCAGGCAAATATAGTATAGTACATCACAAGCACGGGGGCAGGAGGAAGGAAGTCATGGTGAGGAGGAGAATGACACCAGACAAACACGCTCGCCAGCAGTGTAACGTATACCAGACGCCACCTCGCTTAACCTCGTAGATAATACTGGGAAAAAAATGGCATAATTCAAGGCAAATTGTTTTGAATGCACACACAAAAACCCAAATTGAATGTTTTCTTTTTGAATTTTAACATAATTAGAATTTCACACTTGATTACAAGTAAGTTGTTTCAGCACTCACCCTTTTTTGATTTTGCACCAGCCTTCAGCTTTGTTGGCCATGTGATAATGGTGTCAGTGGTTTCCATAATCTATGCCAGAAGATAAGAAGTCCAGTTGGCACTTTCAGAACTTGACTGTACCAACTTGTAAGTGCACATATACCAAATTCAAAATGCTAATTAAGAATGTTATGACAGCCAAGAGATGTCCTCATAAACTTGACCTCCACAAACAATATGCAGTATCTCAATATCTCAATACCATCAAAGCAAAGCATCTTTTACTGTCGATGTGTGCAAATATTCTGGTGTAGTTCTCAGCCATGGATGTTTGGGGAAGCCCATGCAAACCGATAAAAGAGGGACTCAATTCAGTGACAGAAAGGGGGAGGGGGTGTAAAATTAAAACATGCAGTGTGAGACAGGTTGCTTTTACTTATTGCTGGCAAAAAATGCTCAAACAAGTGCCATGCCAATTTGATCTGAACAGCTTGTCAATATCTTGTACAATCTGCATCCCCATTCAACCTGTATCTAACTATGCAAGCCTAAAAAAAAGCAAGCTCCAAAGCATACGTCGCAGAAAACTGCAATGAAAGCCATCTCATGGAGAAGGTAAAACAAGTTAGCTGTGCCACAATGCGAAACGAAACTATCGGGAGATAAGGAACGAAATTTCTGAAGGAGTGACATGCAGGACATGGTGTACCACCAAAAAGCAATTTTTTTTTTTTTCTGGAGAATGGGCTTTGTAGATCCCCAAAGATGGCTTTGCGAACTGCTGTTTTAATGATACTTGAAAAGTACAGGGGCTTCATTTGTTAAATTGGCACTAACAACACATGACGGGAAGCGTACAGGGCAGTAGCATGGATGTGTAGCCAAGCATCACCACAATATACAGAGATATTCCTCAGAGGACGGCAGTAAGACTGCCAATTAAGTTTTGTACAAGAATGATCTGCTTTAAAAAATGGCATATCCATATATTAAAAATGATAGGAGTCAGACCAAGAAGAGGAGGGGACTAATTCTCGCAAGTGCGAGTAGTAATGCAGCAACACTGTTGAGGCAAAAAGGGTCAAGCTCAAATTGTCTATGTTCCCTACACTCAAAGTCTACGTTGCAGTTATTAAGTGAGCACAAATTTCGGAACAACTCTGCACTTTGTATTTTGCATACTTTTGCTTGTCCCTTCACAGTGTGCTCATTGTGGCAGTACTTCATTGTAAACTGCACAGGGAGCAGAGACCTCCATTAATTTGAGCTAGAGCACTGTACGAGACTGGAACTCTATAGCCTCACACCATTAAAGAAATGTTTCGTTCAGGCTCAGACTTAAAGCTATGGGCTCTGTCCAAGCCAGATTCACTGAAGAGCCTGCATCAAACCTACATACAGACGCGAGTGTTCTACATATATGCAAGGCTATCTGTGCACCAAAACAAACATTTGCTGTGCTATTGCAATCGCAAGCCAGTTACTCCAAGTTGTCATGAGAGCCTTGCACAAACAAAATAAACCTAAATTTCGCCAAGATAAAAAAGTTTCATATGAAAAGGAAAGCCCTGACAGCTAGTAAAATGAATTGGGCAGTACACGAAAAGAAGGCAGATATAGTAGGCTTGTGCGAAAAGTGAATTTTAGGTTTGAAGTAAATAGCAATTATGGTCAAATAATTTCAAACTTGAATCGTGTATATTGCATATTATAAAAAACACGTATTTGTCATAAGCGAACCAACTTCCACAATAATTTTTAAAAAGTGAAACACTGCAAATTGGTAGAATTCAAGTAATAACAGGTAAAAAATATGCTGTGTTTTAATATTTATTATACTAAGCATTAAAAATCGATGCGATGGTAATATGTTCATTGAACTTTGACACAAGGCTTCACGACAGTGAAAATTTCCCCTAGACAGATGTTTTCACTACTTGAGAACCTCTTGAAACCATGTTTACCAAAGGTTACATGCGGACTAATATACACTTACTCTTTCATTTTGAATACTTTGAAATCTTCAACAACTTTAATTTAGGTCGAAGTGAATTCGAATACTGCAATATTTGTATAAATATCGAAAGCATGTGAATCTTTATAGAAGGCTACTATATATTCAGCAGCAAACATTCATTGACCAATAAACAAGCAGTGTCAGCATGTACAAGCAAATTTGAATGCATTACACTCTGTGCAAGTGAACATTGGCTTTCACAATGCTGGCATGATCAGGAGCACCAGAAGTGAGCAACCATGTTGCATTGCCACTTTCTTTGAAATCCCATGTCCCATAACATTAGGCATGTGGAGACTGAACGTGAAGCCATTAGGCATATCGGTTCGCTCAGCCTTTGCAGCCACTAGTAAGCTATTGAAAGTAAACTAGCCAACTTAAGCCCCTCAACTGTATGCCAGCTTCCCACCCTCCACTACAGCATAACAATGCCTTTAATCAACTATCATCTTGCACACTCACCTCCATGCACCTATATCAGTAGTTCTCAAATGGGGGTCTGCGAACCCTAGGGGGTCCGCGAAGCCAATTTCGTGAATTGTGGTACGTTAACAGCTTCTTTTTTTAAATTTTTTATAGTTTAGTCCAGCCAAGACTTAAAGTAAATACCAAAACAGGTTGAATGTGCCTGCAGATGCGTAGGCAACTCTGTTTAAGTGCAACTGTGCCAGGTATTGAACTATCCAAAACAAGAAGATGTGGAACGTCAGTGATGTTTTTGGTAGTAATAAAAGGTACCCGTTTCATGCTCTAGTAGTATCAATTTACCTATGTACCCCCCTCCCCC